AAAGAGTCTGTCTCAGTTCTCCAGGTAGCCCATCCTCTCTGAAGCTGGTAAAAGCCTGTTACGGTTCCTTCTGCACGTGTCTCTATAGCCTGTGTGTAAAGGGAGCACCATCCTTAGCCACCCTGCTGACGTGTCCACATAGCACCATGGAAAGCCTAAACCGTACATGAGTTAGAGAACTGTAGCTGATCTATGATCAACAGACTCCTTTCTCCTTAGAGCAGTGCGTGAACAACTGTGTTTCAACCTTTGCCTTTGTGGGTTTGGGGTTGGTTTTGGGTTTGTTCCTGTTTTCTGCTGAATGGGCAGGAGAAAGGGGACAGGGGAAGGCAGTAGGGATGTCCCTCTCCTGCAGAACACAGGTTAGGAGAGCTGAGGTGTGTGCTTCAGAGGAGGAGAAAGCACCAAATTCCTCTGAAGCTGTCCTTGTGCCTCTTGGTGATGGTGCATTGAAGAGAGGTTGCCAGGCTGTCCCCAGCTAACGGTTTGCTCTTCAACAATCCTGGTTGTGAATGAACTGCACTTCCTTGGGGAGGGGAAAACACACCCAAACCAGATTGCTAAAGCTGCAGAAATGACCCTAAGTGAAACCTAAGAAGGTTTTGAACCAAATCCGTGTGAGTATGGCTGTGACTAGCATTTTGTTGACCTTTATTTGGATGAAAAGGGCATTGTGGCAGCAGCAGATGTATTTTCTGTGATCTCTTTTCTGTGTTTGACTGGAAAAAAAGAAGCAAATCCCCCCCAACCAACTGTAAAATTGTGTATGAATCAAATTGTCCTACAGTTGTTTGTCTACTTTTAATCCTGGTTTTAGTCAAGCATCCGGTACCTGTTCTGGGTTCCCTGTTTTCTCTTGTAACTGCATATAGTGCAAACCAGTTGAGTATGGAACCATTTGTTTCAGTAGACAAAGATTACTGTGGACTTTACTCCACTCCTCAGTCTTTGTGGAACAAGCATGCACTTGGTTCGAATGGTCTGAAGTTCAGTGCTGCTACAACTTGGTGGGTTTTACCTTTTCTTTTCCCTTCACACGCTTAGTTTGTCAATCAGCTGGATACACTAAACTGGTTTTCATTGGCTTCTGGTCCTGAAGTCCGGAATTTCTATCTTGTATTTGAAAGCTCTTTCTGAACAGAAGGACTCTTCCTCTGTAGTGGAATACTTACTAGCTTCCTGCTAACCTTGTGTACGTGTATGTAGCTGTATTAGTACTAAGTGCAGTTTCCCATGTGCGAAAGTAGGAACGACTGAAACATGTATGTGCTGACCTCTTGCTAAGAAGGAAAGAAATCCAAGCTCGTGACTTCTCCTTCCCTATCTCCAGTCTCTCTGCTATTCCCCACCCCAACACTTAGTTTAACAAATTCTGTAAATAGAACTACCATGGATTGTGTCTGCTCTCCATTACTCTTCTTTTCAAACCTGACACTTGATAATAAAAGTATTGCTTAAGTGTGTTGTATCATTACCTGTGTATACTGCACTTTCCAAGAGAAGCTTTACATGAGAACTTATGGAAATGACCTTAGTAAAATTGTGGATAGAACTTTATTATTTTTTTGGTTTATATTCCTAAAGCACAGGCAAGCTGGACTGGAAAACATGAAGCTGTTATAGATAGAAAGTTATTGTATAGTCAGATACTGAGATTATATGAAAAGAGAATGGATTTTAAAAAGTAACCATCTACTGTATATTAGAAACAAAGATTTCTGTGAATTAAAGTACTTTTAAAGAATGTTTAAGATTTTAAATCTAATGGCACTTGTTTGAGGGAGTTGTTCTGGAACAAACTCTAAATGCACTGGGTTGTGAATAATGCTATTAAATAAGCAGATGTGAATGGTTATTTTATTGCTTTTTCCAGTAGCTGTTCATGGATCTGGGTGGGAATGGTACAATGGAAGCTCACAGTTGAGAGAGGTCTGTTATCTAGACCTCCTTCATCAGAAAATACTTTGTGGAATGAATGGAACATGAGAGAGAGATGGAACGAGTGGATATTTGGGCTTCATTTTAAGCTCTCCAAAACCTGTGACTGTCCTGCAGGCGCTGATGTGCTGCTGGGAGCTGGGGGGGGGTGGTGTGAAAGCTGCTGCTGTGAAGGGACAAGCTGAACTTGCCTGCCTGGGAGACGCTTGGTGCCCAGCACTCCCAAACTGGTGTCAGAATGAGCCTCATAGTGCTGGCTGGAGCCTTGTTTGAAGCTGTGGGAGGTGTTTCTGTCCCCTTTTGAGGGTCGCAGGATCAGATGTTGTTAACTAACATAATACAAACGTACAGTCAGCAGAATCACAGCAGATTCTCCTTTCTGCCCTAACGGGCTGGAGCCTGGGGTGGTGTTCTTGGCATTACCTGTTTCGATGGATCCTCCTGATAGGAGTTGTAGATACTACAGCTGCAACCACAGCACACGGAGCAATTTCCTTTCAAGTCAAGGTTGTGCTTTGGATGGAAGAATAAACTCTAGTTTTGGGGCAGAAAGATGTGCAGTGGAGTAGCCAGAACGTAGATGTTGGCTGTTGCTGGGGGCTTGGGTTTTGACCTGTCCCTGCCTTTGGGAATGTCCCCAGTTCAACTGGCTGAGCGCGAGTGTTGCACCCCCAGCTCAGTTTGTCTTGTTTGTGACAATATCCACTGTGGTGGGAGTAGCTGTCCCAAAAGCAGAAGGTGCAGGGTCCTGAATTTGGGCTGTCCAAGCCTTCATGGGGTTCACTTGGCTCAGTATGAAGGACTTGGCCAGGGCTGCAGGCACTGTGCAGCCTGATGGAGAGGTCCAAGAGATGCGTGGCCCATTGGCTTTGTGACAGACCCTCTGCATCCTCTAACAGGCCACTTACACGAGTGAGTGGCAGCTGGAGTGAATCTCTGTGTAGAGCCAAGTTCTTTTCAGAGAGGGCTTCTTGTAAATGAATGATGGCGAACGAGTGATGATGGCATTCTTCAGCCTGAAAGCTTGCAGGATCTTGCCTCCAGAGACTTTCCAAACCCACCTTCCTTAAAAATGGATTAAAAAAGACATAAATTGTTGTTACAGTGAAAGTTTAGATGTGATTCAGACCAGAGTTCAGCAAGTTTTGGGGTGTCCAAAGTTCTTGGTGTGAATGTGCTGTGATGGAGCGCTCAGATGAACGAGGTTTATCGGTCAATGTGTGAGACCAGTTCCTGTGACTTCTCTTTGCTGAGGCGTTTGGCACTGCACGTCAGAACTGCATCACCCAGCAGGAAACATGGGGAGAGGTGGGAAGGGGGTTTCTTTGTGTTCGTTTCTTGTCCCTGTTTCCATACCTGGCAGAAGCTGTGCTCTGGGACAACCATGCCAAAGTACTGGAGCGCGGGCTCCCTGCACAGCATCAGATCTTGCTGTTCCTCGGGAGGAAGGGTGGGTTGATGGCTGGGGTTGTTGGAAGGATGTTACCAACATCTGAGACTTGTGCTCCTGCCCTTTCTAGAGGTTTAACCCCTAGAAACTCACCTGAAGTTCTTCTTAGATGGCTGCATCTTAAAAATGACTTGTGGATGTAACATGTGGCTTGTGCACAGTCCAAATGGGGGTAACCCAAATGGTGCTATTGGTCCCCGCTGGGGGAGTGTTGTAAACTGTGTGTAAACCGTTGGACTGTGTGTGGGGTGTTTAACACCAGCCCTGTGACACTCTGTACGCTGCAAACGGGGGTACAAGTGTGCCAAGCCCAGAGCATTACACCCCTTCCCTCCAGCACTGAACCCCCAGCTCTGCCACTGTGCGGTGACCATGGGCAGAAACACTTCATTCTGCTCCCCACATTGCCCAGTGACACAGCAATAGTGATGTTGACCTTTGGTGTGCTCAAAGCACTGTATGGGGCTGCTGTGTCTTGAGGTTTAGTGCTTCCAGGAATCAGAATGCAAGGAAAACCTCCACCGTTTCAGGAACAAAGGCACGAGAAGTCTTTTGACCCTTTTCAAACGCCAAACCAGCAGTTGTGCTGATTTTTGACACCTATTAGTGCGTGCTGAGCCTTCCTCACCTTGGCTGGCTGAAATCAGGGGAGTTACTTGGTGGAAGAGTAGCTTTAAGCTCTAGGAATGCCTCCATTTCCCCTTTCTTGTCCTGGGCGCTGCTCCAGGGATGAGCTCATCATCTCGGTGGCTGCTCTGCCTCCTGCAGCCCCCTGTTATAGGAAGGGTAAATCTTTTACACCTTTCCTGTCAGTTATTCCAGTAGTTGGCCACTTCAGGGCATGGTTTTCCTTAAAAGATGGGGGAACTCCGCATGTCAGTGCTGTAACTCAGGGGTAAATGGTCTTGTCTTCAGGTTGCTGTCTGATGGGGCATTCCCAGGTTACCAAGTGACAAGTGGGTTTAATACTCAGGTTCTCCCTGCAGAAAGGGAGCTTGAGTGTAGTTTCTTTAGTGCTTATATGAGCCTGGAATACAAACTGATACACAAATGTTGTACAGGGGGTAGGGCAGAACCTCAGCTATAAACTCAAGCTCTATAAGGATTTTATGCTGTAAAGGAGTGTCAGGAATGTGTGTGTGTGTGTTAGAACCCGGGTTCACTCAGAACCGAAGGGATGCTTCCCCACGAAGTCACACACAGATCCTGGAGCCCGGAGGAAGGGAGGAGACAAAAGAGACAGCTGCCCGTTGACTGTGTCCATCTTGGCATAGGCAGATGTTAGGAAGTGCTGCCTCTGCAGAAAAGGCCTCTCTTTGTGTGGCAATTCAAGCAAACCATCTGCCTGTATCTTTTCAGGCCTCTTGCATGGTGCGAATGGGAGCGCAGTCAGCCAGAGGAGGGGCAGGGCTGCACACAAACAGGCACTGTCTCACAGGGGTTGTCCTTTACCAGCCCCTGTTCCCACAGAACATGCCTTTTCATGTGGAGCCATCCCTGGCTCACTGGTCTCTGATCTCAGACCTCTGAAGCATCCCTCAGCGCTGCCTGACTGCAATTCCCTGTCCTCCGAAACCTCCTCTGCAAAGCCTGTAGCTGTGGCTGCTTATGGGAGTGCACTGACCGTGTCACATTAGCTCTAACCTGACCTTTACACAAAGGGATTTGGGTTTTTTATGATGTGATTGCACATTTTGGTGTCTTAAGCATAGCTCAGACCTTTAGTTAACATAGAAGATTAAAAACAGTGAGAGGAGATGTCTAAGCCACTGCCTAGGCATGCTCCCAGATGTTAGCCAAAGGAAAATGCTGGCATGAGCATGTCTTCCTTGCAGCGATGCTGCCACAGCTCCTTCTGGGACTGTCCCTTTGCTTTCTGCCAAAGGAAGCAGATGGGAACCCACGAACATGGGAAGGAAAAGGTGCCTGAGGTCAGATACTGTGGGGTGGTATCTGGAAGCCAGGTCTTCCTCCTTCAACATCAGGAAAATAGAACATGGGATTACAGCTGGTGCTCCTCGTCTCTTGTTAGTAAATCCCCACGCTTCTCAGTGCATGTGGCTGTTCCTGTGGCCATTTCTGTTGTCAAATTCTCAGGGCCTTTCCCTGGCTGTGTTGCGTGGCAGCTCTGACTGAGACCAGCTTGGCACCGAAGGCCAGAAGGAGCTCCTACTGAAGCATCGCTTCATTTTCTCCTCCCAGAGTAATTCACACCACCAGTTCTGGCCTTAGCGAGGAGGAGAAACGCTTCCCTTCTCCCTTGGGATGGGCAAAGAGAGCAAGAAAGCATTGGGGAAAAGTCATTTTTCCAAACCCAGTGTTCTACCCATCATACAGTGCCTCCAAGTGCTCTGTCCTAAGCAAACAAGCTCATATCCTGTCAACCCTCCTCTTGCTCTGTCCCATCATCGCTTACACAAATGTAGCCACCGACTAACGCAAGTAACTCTTTACACAGGAGAATTCAGCTCAAACGACTTGTTTGTACTGGTTTTGTGCAGAGAGGGTCCCTGGTTGGTTGCGTCAAGGTTCCCCATGATAAATGCCTTTTTCCTTCCCTTGTTTTCCTGCACGCTGTGTTTCCGTGAGAACCGGGTAATTCCGAGGCGTTTGCGTGATGTGGCGACTGGTTTTGCTCTGCTTCAGCCTGTGCTCTCCAACCCTCACAATAACACCTGGTAAATACCTAACCAGCCTCCTGGACGAAAACCCCACCACACACGTCCTGTTCCTGGGATCTGAGATTAGCATCTGAGGTTAAAGTGCTGCTGGCAACATTGGCTTCAGGAAAGAGCGACAGTATTTTTGTAGAGTGACTTCTGGAATGTTCTTATCTCTACACTGTCTTTCCGTAGCAGTGTAATGTATCTAAGTGAATAGTTTCCCAATAAATACTGGTTTTGATGCCTAATGAATGACTGCTGTGTCTTTACTTGTGAGAAGGGGCTGACTTGCTATGGAGCTGATGGAGAAACAGTGTAAATGGGAACGATTTTAACCTGGGGGACGATGCTCTCTTGTCATAGCAGGGTGTGTTGGTTAGTACCTCACTTGTCCATCAGATACCATCATCCCCCTCCTCATTCTTCCTGCAATTCATACTGCTTAGTTTTCATATGCCTTTTTTCCTATCCTCTTGCTAACATGAGCCCAATGACACACTCCTAACCTGCCAGTAGTTCTTTGAAGGTAAGATCTCTTCTGTTCTGTCTGTGTGAGTCGTAAGGCAAAGCCAACCCCATCTTGGGCTCTTGTACCTGGAGGAGACCAGAACAGCAAGCCTCTCCCCACACTGTCTTGTTACACTAACACAGAAGCAAGCCAGGTAGCTATAGTTATGTTAGATGATCAATTTGGAGCCATGGTATGGAATGTTTAATATCATTTGTCTTGCAGTGGTTTAAATAATGCTGCTGGAGTTACTGGGATTTATTAAAAGCTGCAGGCTGGCCTTCATCCTTTGAAATGAGAATGTTATTTTAGCAGGTTGCAGGGATCCATCCCTGTGTATTCTACATACCTGAGTGTAATTCCATCTACTCGTGGGATGGCTCACAGCAGCAGAGGCCATGCCAAGCGTTATGTCTGGTTGTAGGGCAGTCAGTAAGCAACAGTGCAGAGTGAGGTGACAAAACTTGTCTGTTTGCTGCAGCATCACTCCAGCAGCATGTTAGAAAGTGAAAACCTCTCCTGTGGTGGTCCTTTTTGTGGGTAGCAGAGAAGAACCTTGTGGAATGGTGCTGAGAGAGTGCTGGGGTTGCCTGTTTGTGTGTCTAACATCTTCCATCTCTTTCTGGAAAGTGGTGTCCCTGAGCTGTGAGGCGGTGCTGAGCTGTGTCACTCTGTGTCTTTTCAATCCCTTCCCTGGCCTTTTTATGTTCTTTTATTTGCTCTCCTTCTCCTTCCCATTTTCCATGCGTGATGGTGGTTTAAATCTGAACAGCATGATGTTTCTTGTGTAATAAGTACCTTTCTTATTTATGACTAAGAAGATGGAGCTTGTTGAGTAACGCTCTTCTCTTGCGTTTTTAGGTCTGCAGAGGGATCCAGCCTTATTCCCAGGTGTAGCTCTTGAACTCCATAAAGGACCTTCTGGCAGTGATGGACTTGCTTTGTACAAGGGTCAGTCTGAGATGCGGGAGGTGAAGACACAGCACAACTCAGAGTCAGACTACTTGGCAAAAGATGGTCCTTCAAGCAACAGCTCCTTCTACAGCAGTGAAGGAGAGGGGACAGACCACGAAGGAGACATTCTGGATTGCAGCGGGTCCAGGCCTTTGCTGATGGATTCGGAAGAGGAAGAGGAAACCTGCAAGTTGTGCACAGGGTTCCTGCAGTCTGTGCCCAGGGAAAGGCCTGAGGCCTCCAAAGAAGATCCCCACTGCCAGTCTTCCCAGCCTAGAGCAGGGGAGTCGCTGTTCCCTGCCTTCCAGTCACACACGGGGGAGGTTTTTAACGAGCCAGATGTCTTTGCCACGGCTCCTTTCCGAAGCATGAGAAAAGTGCCTGATGAGGTGGATGTCTTTACCAAAGCTCCTTTTATCTCCAAGGGCAACATGGCTCTTAGGCATCCAGAAGAAGCAGATGTGTTTCTGAGAGCCCCTTTCACTAAGAAGAAAAGCATGGAAGAGTTGACTTCCCATAGTACATCTAAAGAGTCATTCACACCACCCATCCTCCTGAGTCAGGGAGGCGAAGTCCAACACCGAGCCAACCCCGTGATCCCAAGCCTGGACTCAGCAATGTGTGGGTCCACAGCTGTGGCGAGAGCTCAGTATCCCTCTGCTGGGTTTAATCAGCCAGGAAATCTTCATCCCTCTTCCGTCAGAGCCACAGAGAGCCAGGAGCACATCCCTGCTAAAGGCTGTGTGCCGCAGGAGCAGGGTGGCACTGCCAGTGAGAGGTTTTGATCAACTTAAAAAATGAAAAGCAGCTGTGTTTCATATCAAATTCCCGCCCACCCCCCCCCCCCCACCCCCCCCCGCCACTACAGTCCAGAAGATGGGCAGGGGCTCGACGTGAAGCCCATAGCTGCTTACAAAGTGGTTTCTCAGACCAACAGACAGGCGATAGCAGGATCTGTCTCTGTTGTGCCTCTGTCTTCCAGGACTACAGAGCTGCCCGGCGGGGATCCCTTTGCTTCAGCACCCTTCCCTTCCAAAGCAGGAAAGCAAAAGCCTTAATCTGCTGTGAGCTGGGAGGTGTGCTTCCCTACGACCACCTCGCACAGGACCTTGAACCTCTTAGTTGAAATGAATGATATAGCAATATATATATATAAAAATAATTATTATTTTTTGGTCAGAACTCTATTTGCAGTGATATATAGTTGAACCATTTTAAGTTATGTTAGTCTGAATGCCTGGCTCTCAGGATCTTCATATCCTTTTCAGTTGCTTCTTACCTTCCTCCTCTCACTGTCTTCCCCTCCGTTTATTTTTAGATGCTTTCCCAAACCAGTAATATTCCATATTTCCTGGTCCTGGCTGGGAAAATGCATTACAAGATGAATGAAAAGGTTTATTAATTACAGAGCAAGTCAAGCGGGACTTGCTAGTGCTCTGGAAAGGAAGTGATTTCACAGGTTAAAGAGTCGTTGTGACTTCTTCCCTCTTGCCTATCAGTGGAAGAGCAAGGTTGTATATTCCCGCTGCTTGGCAGCGATGGCAAACCTGGCAGCTGTGCTCCAGTCTGTGTGCGTCCATAGGTGATGCCATGCAGGAGGTGGTGGCACCAGCTCTGTCTAGAGCCGTTTCTTTGCTCGCTGTGCTGTGTAACGTGGAAGTGCTCCTGCGTGGGGCCCCGGAGGAGTCAGTGGCAGGACTCACAGTGCCTTCAGTGGCTGGTCGTGCCAGCTCTGGGCTGCCTGAGCTTCACAAAGCAATGTGTCAGGCTGTTGCTATTGCTGTGTGTTCATGTGCGTGCTTCCTGTCTGGTTTCTGCCAGCCCAGGGATTTGCTGATGGTGGTGGTGCAGGAGGGAGCTGTGCAGCAGTTTTACAGTATTAAACATAAACCTTACAGAAAACCTGGTTATGCAAACGCCTCCCTAGCTGTCCTGAGCTACATACCTCATGTGGTGACTCCGGCACCGGCTGCATCCCGGTTAGACTGAGTTACAGAGAAGCTCCTCCCCGTTTGTAAACTCTGCCTTTTGTTTTCCTGGTGAGTAAGGATGAACCTAAACAAAACCCATCCGTGCTTCTTTGGGAATGTTTGCTCTGCTTCCGAAATACCGTGTGTTCTCCCCTATTCCCAAGGAGAAAGACAACTTCTTATTGCTTGTTCAGTCATGGATGTAGTGAATCCCAGTATAGTGTTTGGAGGAAAACCAGCCCTGGTGGGCAGAAAGCAAGCAGACTGTGCTCCCTTCTCCTTCCACTCATGTAGGACAGAGAGAAGAGTGAAACCTCTCATCTTGATTCCGCAAAATGCCTGGTTGCAGAAGTTGTCTCAGATCTGCAATTTTTGGCCCTCAAAGGCTATTTAAGTGTGGAGTGGCTTCCAAAGACCCACATATAGGGACTCTTTGGGTTCCCAGTCGCTGATGGATCTTTGCAGAGCAGTAATCCTTCCCCTGACAGGGGTTGATGCTGCAGAATGTCTCCCAGGAGAAGATTTTGGTGGGTTTAATCTTAAGGATTTGACATCTATGGAAAAAATCCCCCTTGACTCCAGTGGCATCTGGCCAAGTCTCTTAAAAGCCTCGTGGTGGCAATTTCCCAAGGGAGTTTGTTCATTACAGTGTGAGCTGAGCCTTGCACTGAGGGTAAAGGACGTATCTTGCATTTGGGGATCTCCCACGAGTGACTTTGAGGTCTTTGGGAGTTTGCAGGTGGATTGTTGGAGCAATGGGTGGGTTGCTGAGATCAGCATGTAGAGCAGGTCCCTGCCCTGCCCACTCTCTGATGGGATTGTACTGTGAGTCCTGTCACTGTAAGAGGTGGAAGGATCAGGTATAGCTGCTCCTAACTCACTGGAGTCCCACTCGGGAGAGCTGCTGCAGCTGAAAGTAGACTTCAGTCTAGTTTGGCAGGGAAAAAAACCCTGATACCACCTCTTGTCCAAATAATAAGCACTAGGGGAGTGCAACAGGCATATTAAAAAAACAAGTGGAGGCTGCTTGAACAAAGCACAACACTGCACGGTCCAGGGTTGAGTCCTAACCCAGCAGTGTAAGCGGAGGAGGGATGGAAAAACCCTGCATGCCAGAAGCTGACTAGCAAAGCATGTGCAAATAGGAGTTAGCAACCGCTCCAGGTTTCCGTTCCCCTCCCCACGCTCAGTCCCCTCCAAAATAGCTCCAGTTGCAAAAGATGAGCCAAATGTTCTGCTGGACGTGCTTGGCGTGGGGATCGCCTGGAAGGGAGAGGAAGAAGTTTGGGCAGAGGTCTTGCAGCCCTGGGATGGGGAGGGAGAACACATGGAAACAGGGAGGCTTGCACAGCCTGATTGCTGGCAAACAGCGATTTGCTGAGCCCAGGTCAGGGCCAGTTCTGCTCTGCTGCACTCGGAGTGAAGTAATACTGGTGCATACTGGTGGTTTTTCTGTCCTCTGTCACCATGTCTTGAGAAGTACTGTAAAGAAGTCCCTGGATTTCCCCCGAGATGCTTCTTCAGCAATGCTGAGGCTGTTGTTGATTGTGTTTTGTTGTTGTTTTCTGTTTCAATCTATACCCAAAAGGCGGTTGTTTTTGTTCTAAATACACACATGATGCACACCCCAAGTTGGTTGTTGCTGGACTGGATCTATGCGAGATGCAAACTGAATTCAAGGGGTACTGAGGACACTGAGCATGAGGGCCCAGCTTTGTTCCAACACACGTGTCGTGGTCCTGCCTGCAGCCATGGGGCTGAACTTGGCCTCGAGCTGCTGAATTGGCTTGGGAAGCTGCTGGAAGGGAGGTCAGGCCTTGGTGGTGCATCTGTGGAACAAGGGAGATGCTTCCCTGGAGTAGGCAGGTCCCAGGTATAAAGAAGAGGTGGGTTCAAGGCATTACCTCTGCAAACTGGATCCAGGTTCTCCTTCCTTCATTTTTACTTGAAAAATTGCATTTGGATAATTCTGTGAAACGTCCTTCAGTGCCACGTCCAGGCGTCCCTTAGCTGATGCTGGAGGAGCATCATCCTGCTCCCCTTCCGCCTCGGATCCCTTGCCCCTTGTTGGTGAGGTGGAGATGAGCTGCGGGTTCTTCAGACCTCCCTCTCCTGAACTGCCAGCCAAGGGTGAAAGGGAAAACACCCCAAGGCACAGCAGGGTGTGTGGGCTTGCTGCAGGCCTGCTTCATGTTGGGTCAGGCTGAATTTCCAGCTAGCATTTTGGCAGCTTTTATGTTCTTCAAGCACTTTACACAAAGAGCAAGCTAACCGTGCCCCCCAGCTAATGATCCTCCCAGCATATATCCAGTGCTTCAGTGGTTTGAAATCTCTTCTGGGGGGTGGAGGCAGCTTGTCTGTGTGTGACCTATAAAGTGATGGGACTTTTGGTTATGGGCAGAAAACTGAATTTCAATGCCTGTTGATCTGATATCCTTCTCATTTCCAGCCTGGTTTCCTCCTCATCCCACACTACCAGTGCTGCAGCTTCAGCGTGATGAATTCTAAGTGGAAATTTTATTTCTGTGTTCTCTGAAGCTTACTCTTTTTAGTGAATGTGGAAGAATAATGGCAATTGTTTTCCTTGCCACACAACTGATGATCTTAATAAGGCTGTGTTGTGGTTTAAGCCCAGCCGGTAACTCAGAACCACGCAGCCGCTTGCTCACTCCGTCCTTTCTTCCTCCCTCCACTCCTGGAGGGATGGGGAGGAGAATGGAAAGGATGAAACTCCAACGGGTTGAGATGAGAACAGTCCAGTAACTAAGGTATAATACAAAACTGCTACTACTAGTAATAATGATTGATAAGGGAAATAACAAGGGGAGAGGACACAACCGCTCACCACACACCGACCGATCCCCCCCCCCCCCGCCGACCAATACCCGGCCCGACCCGAGCAGCAATCGGGGCCTTCCGGGTAACTCCCCCCAGTTTCTATACTGGGCATGATGTGCTGTGGTGTGGAATAGCCCTTTGGCCAGTTTGGGTCAGGTGTCCTGTCTCTGCTTCCTCCTGGCTTCCCCTCCTCCCTGGCAGAGCATGAGACTGAGAAAGTCCTTGATCGGAGTAAAGATTACTGAGCAACAACTAAAACCATGGGTGTTATCAGCGTTCTCAGGCTAAAGGGGAAAACACAGCCCTGCAGCAGCTACTGAGAAGGAGAAAAATGACTGCTACATCTGAACCCAGGACACATTGGTACAGCCTCGCTGCAGCGCTTTGAAGTCAGTTTGCTGAACAAACCACTGGTTTCATCTTTTGATTTGAAAGCTGGAGTAAGTTCTATTAACTGCCCTGTCCTCATGCACACTCAGAGGGCCGCAGCCCTGTGACAATCTTAGATTCATGCTGGCAAAGGGACTGGTTCTTACCCATCGCCAACTTTAGCTTGAAGTCTCTCTTCAAGGTGATTAATCAGAGTTTCTGCATGTGAAAAACGAACCAAACCTCTAGTTGGCTCGGCTCTGTGTGCCTCACTGCCATGAGGGTCGTACAGCACACGAGGGGACCAGCCACCCTGGTGTTAACCTGCTGCAGTATTTGTGGGGCTTGCCCCACATCTCCTCTCCCTCCCATTCAGCTCAGCACTAGTGACACATAGCGTTAAGTTTACAATCTTTAAGTCCTCTTGGAGCCAGCGCACACTCCATCTGTAATGCACGCTCTGCATGGAGCACAGAGGTGATGCTAAGCTTGGAACAGCAAACCCGTGTAAGCCATCTCTTCAGCGGGACTTAAAGCAAGACTGAGTGAGATGTGTTTAATTGCTGAACTCTCAATCACTCCAAAGTGGTAATCAGTTACTTTAACTCAGCTTCCACCAAAGAAGAATTGAATTCTTGGGGGGGTTTTGCTGTTTCTTTTATTCCCATGGTGTTGAATGAAGGCCGTTCAAGACTCCAAAGCATTTTTACAGTAGTTATCTTGACAGTAAAATCTTGTTCCAGTTCTGAAACACATTCCTGAAACGTGGTCAGTGTTTCTAAGATAAGCCACGGCCTGTAGTTCCCGTTGTAGGTAGGCTAAATACCCTCACCCCCCCTAGAAATACTCCAAATGTGATGTTAGAGAGGTAGTGATGATCC